TTTGTTGCTAAATAAGCATAAAAAGCAAAATTTACCTAAATTTTACATATAAAATTTAGGTGCGTCAATCATTTAACTCCATATTAAAAAATTTACACACAGAAATATACAGTATTATTATTATTTTTTTTTGATAAGCTAAAAATTGATATGTTGATGAAAACAAGTTGGAACGTCCAGGGACAAGACGGGACGGAGGGGACGGAACAAGGCCAAAAATAGCCTGGGACGGTCAAAACCGCTTCAAGGAACCCCAGATTAGGTAACCTGCATTTATTTAGCTCCTGCTTTAATACAGTAATATAATGAAAATTCAAAACTAAATTGGTAAGTTTTGCATGCATGTACTTGAAGATTTACGCCCTGACGTGCTTTATACGTAATATTATAAAATTCATAAAATTTAATTAGTGTAAGAATTCTACGTACAGTACAAGCAAATGAACAAATACAAAATATTGCAAATAATATTATTAAAGATTTATTTAATCATCATCTAGTCCTAATAAGCTACAACACCACCAATTATGCATCAAAGTAAAAATAGGCAAACAATAGGAAAATAATGAAATTCCACCAAAGGCTCCGTTCATTCGTAAATAATAATCTTCGCTCTTTCTTCTTCCATTATTCAGTAACATTTCATCAAGAACGCTGTCATTCTCATCATCATGATGCATCTCGTATTCACCATTTGATAATTCTGTAGTAACAGCATTCATGTTTCTGTTTCGAGTTAATATGGGAAGGTTCCATTGATTTGATGCTGAGTTATTTTTGGAAGTAATACTTGAAGATTTCCACAATAACCATAATCCTTCATCTGATTCTTGTGGGTTGTGTGTCGCATGAAGTTGTTCGTCATCCTCGTTTTCGAAATTTATATCGGGTGATAAATATTCCCCTGGGTGATAACCCAAAGTTGATAGTGGTGTTCCTTGAAGTTTGGTAATGATAATAACTTGTAAGAGTCATTGTTTAGAATTAATTTGTTAAATTTAAAAATCACCTTCAAATCCTACAGATTTGTCAACATGTTTATTGCCTTGAGATACGATTTCTGTCAATTTTGACTCTACACGTCATGTCAATAAAAATGTTATAAAATTAAAATTTAAAAATCATGGTAAGATAAAAAATAAACGTTACCTAATAACCCAATATGCCTTTCAAAATCAGTTTGTAATCCCCATGATATTCTGCTACTTTTTCGGGAATGTCTAGACATAATATTTGCTGATGGAAGTGGGGGCGGTGGTGTTATTACAAAGTTGCAATGTTCTTGCTGTGGCTGTTCATGTTTTTGCGGATTCCATATAACATCATTCTAACCATATTTAAAATTAAATTGATTAAATAAATAATAAATAAAGATCATCTAATTTAAAAAACTAACATCACGAGTTTCTTCGTTAGCATCGGATGCCTTTTGCCAAAATACATCTTCAGATTGATCAGGAAAAACTTTTTGATTAATTATTTCCGGGGGATTAATTAGAGCAGATACATCGGTTGACATTGCAAAAGACTAAAATTTAAAAGATTCGCATAGACTTAATATATATACGGATTTTGGTAGTACAACTATAATTCGAGAATATAAATTCACCGACTATGTTACACTACTTAATCATATAAAATAGTAATTTTTTTTTTTTTTTTAAGATTGAAAGATGGACGTTTCAGCACAACTTGAAGCTCAAAAATCCAAATAGTGAGTTTCATCCTTATCCCCAATTTCCATGTGAATATTTCTAAATTCCGTTTCTTTAATCAGCAAATCAATAAATGTCGAAAAACAAGTTCCACTACAATTCGATCTCGGATTATTAGCCGGATTCGATGTAAATGCACTGGAAGAAAATAAATTAAAGTAATTTAGGCAATTCTTTATTGTTTGATTTCTTATTCCAAAACTTTAACAAAATCTATAAATTTAGAACTGAAACTGATAATTACTTAAAATCCTATACCCGTGACGGCACCCAACTCTTAATTAATGAAATATTCCGACTTCCTCTGACTTCGATACAGGATGTCGGTGTGGTTGCCGAGTTACCAAAGATTGTTACCGTTATCCCACGAGAGAAACCCGTATGCTACGAATTTTAGTTGTTTTTGTTTTTTTTTTCACTTTTTAACTTGATTTTTTTTTTTTAAAAAAAAAAATAGTTGCCAAAACCAAAACCACCGACACGATGGGAACGATTTGCAAAACTTAAAGGCATCAAAAAGAATAAAAAAAGTAAATTAATTTATGATGAGAAAAGGGGAGAATGGGTTCCTCGGTGGGGATATAAGGGTGCAAATGATGATGGTGCTAACGAATGGTTGGTTCCCGTACCCGATAATGCCGGTTAGTTTTTATCATTTTTAATAATACAATCTTTATTTTTATTTCAATTTAACATTCCTTTTTTTTATATACAAAAAAAAAACAGATCCATTTGAAGACCAATTCGCTAAATTACGCGAAGCTAAAAAAGGACGAATTTCAAAGAATGAAACACGCAATCGAAGAAACGTAGAAGAAGCAAGAATTAATGAAGGTCAACACTTAAACAGTGCACAACCACAATCTAAAGGCAAAGTAAATGCAAAGGTAAGGTTGTGTTACGAAAGTTACAATCTTACAATACATCTATTTTTACGTAAATTCCAGCGAATCAGTTTTATGTAGTTTTCATCACATCATATGAAATACCTTGGTTTAAAATTACATTTTATAATCTTACATTTCGTGTAATTTTGCGTAAGTTTCAGTAACATGGATTTTTCATGTAAATTTCACACGTGATATATAGTACTATGTGATCAAATTGCTGTACATATGATCGAAAACCATGTTACCGAAACCTACACAAGATTACGCAAAATTACGGTAATTTTACAACCCTAACAATACCGGCTTTACAAAAGTTCGGCCAGCATTATTTCATCATTTGATTTGAATATATTATCTAAAAAATTACATCCTTATGTAAAGGCTCAGGAGAAAGCAGAATTGCGCCGACAAATTTCCATGGCCAAAGCATCAACTGCTAGCCTTGGGAAATTCGACAAGCCTGTTAAAGGCGAACCATCAACAACGAAAGGCGTTAAAAGAAAGGTATGTGACGCAACTATCGAAGAATACTTAATGGACAGATTTATGAATAAATTTCTATCAATATGATTCATCTTGTACGGAAATTTAGTTCGAATCGAACCTTGGAGACATACAGAAAGAAAAAGAAGCTAGGTTAGGTATACTTAATAAAATAATTGACAAAAAAGGCGAAATTTTAAACGTTAGAAAGGTAAGCCAAAAGATTCCTCCTTTATATTTTATTTTATTTTATTTTATTTTTTTTACTCAAACTGTTTTAGGCGCAAAAATTGATCGGATAATTCCTTGTTATTGACCGCCATTTAAAAAAAAAAAAATTTACGCATATGCGTGTATATATTTGGCAATAAGTATTTCACAATAAATCACATTTAATATAAAGGAGGTACGGGTACGTATTATGGTACACTTAAGAGTTGCTAATAGTAAAAATTTTTATGAAATGCATTTTTATTCACAAGATTTGTTTAAATAACATAACATTCGATTTACTATCTAATGATAAAGAAAAAAAACTATACGTTTTAAAAACAAACTTGATATTCTAAAGACTTTTAGAATCCGTTTAAAAACTTATGTTTTTTTGAGGTTAGGGGTATTATGGGACACTACGTACGCAAATCGATACGTATATTATGCAGATAACGATAACCCTTTTTATATTTGCATTTTGCTGATCTCTTCCCGAAATTGCTCAAATAGGAAAAGAGAAAAATAGAGCAATAACTAACTTTTCCTCAAGTCATGTTCAGAATTGATTAATCTTAGTATCATTCGATTCGTCTCAGTGATACGAATCGAATGGTTCTAAACCTTTTTAATTCTGATTGGTATATCGCAAGATATCTCCAAAAATTCTAAGTGTACCACAATCATAATACCCGACCCTCCCTCATCGTTATACGTAGTAATTATCATCTAGGCAGCTTTACTTAGCACGTGGGCTACCATTTTATTAGTAAAATTTCGGAGAAATTTATTAATTCCGATTTATTTCGACCCAAATTTTGGTTACTCTACTACGTAATTTAAGCGAATTTACAATAGCTTAAACGATATTAACCAATCAAAATCAATATAAATCATGTGATTGATACTTTTGCACCGATTTTTTTTGATACATCTAAAACATATCATAAAACTAACCAATAAAATTGCACATTATTATAATAAAAGTTAGTAAAAAGTATAGAGGTTTTAGGGTATGTTTAGGTACATCAAAAAAGTAGGTGCAGAAGTATCAAATGAATGTTTTGCTCTACGGACAGTGCTAAGAAACAACTACCCCAGTATCGCCACTAAAATGCCAAATCATGTATCCGGTAAATTGCAAATTATGCGAATTATACTAATTTTGATTTATTAACGACAAGTCGGGTGTTTACAGTCACTGGAACAACCCGGTTTATTCATTTAACCAATCAATTTTTGTTTACATGCTGCATGAAAGTGAGCGAATTATGCGATTTCATATAGTAAAAATCTCTTAAACAAATCAGTGTTCAAGATCAGGTGTAACGTTACACGATCAAGGCAAAAAAGTTTTTAATCTCTAAACCCAAATCTTAACATGGATCAATCAACGATTATGTAGTTGGTTAAAAATTTTTCAATCGATTAGTCAACTAGTTGGTTTTTCAGCTAACAATTTGGATCATTATAGTGTGGAAGATTATAATCCATCTACCCTAACCGCTAACTAATCAATCACAACCTGGTCACGTGATAAGCGCTGCCCTGTTCTAAAAATTCCGTTTTATTCCTTTTTGTATCAAAAATTCCATTTTATTCATATCTATATTATAAAATTTAGATGTTCGATCCGTCTAGCATCACATGATTTTGTATAACACTACCCGTTGTTTAACAACGGGTCGAAGCACCTAGTATATATATATATATATATATGAACATTTCCAGATCCCTGGTCTAGACTCCTGGTGGGCCTGGTCAGTCAACCAATAACTGCGGTCAATAATACGTAGTATTTTTGCGTTTAAGCGTTTTAAGCAATTACGAAAGGGGATAAACTACCGACACAGTATCACGTGATTTTATTTCCTAATTCTACCCTAACCTTAACTATAATGCTGGCCATGCTGTGTCGTTAAGGTTAGTACTGGTCATTAACTGTGTCGGACGTAATCCCCTTGCGAAAAGTATCCAACAATAACAAATTACTAAATGATTTGAAAAGTCTTTATTAAATATGTGCATGTCATGGATATATATTAACGATAACATTCATGTCTGACATAAATCACGATTGCATTGCAACATCATCAATTTCCTCATCTTTTACTATTGGCTCAGGCTCAGGTTCAGCAGTGTCTATATCCATAGTCGTCGTCGTTTCATTTGCCGCAGTGACAGTTTCATTAGGATTATTTGCATTTGATATTGGTGGAGTACCGGGTGCTGACGCAATTGCATCCTCTTGTGTAACATCGGATGGTGGGGCAGGGGGTCGAGAAGAACTCGGTGAAGGAGTCATTATTGAGGGTCTATCTGCTGACGGAACACTAGTGCTCACTGTAGTGTTGAGCACATCGTCAAATATTTGATTGGACCTTGAAGATTTGTTGCGTCCTTGATCTCTAATTCCGCTATTTGTCTTACTAGAGCGCGAAGATGATCCGCGACTTTCACTTTCATAATGTGAATTTTTGTTGTTTGCACGAATCTTGCGTGCTGAAGACTCCCCTGCCTTTCCATTAGGATAATAGCTCCTTTCGTGTCGTCTTCCCCCTTCATCCTCGGAATCGGAAAGTTCATTTTCTGGAACAATGCGCGTATTCAACTGTCGTTCTGAATGATATATAAAATAAATTAGAGGTTTTAAAATTTTAAGTACAAAAAAATAAAAAAGTAAATAAAATAAAATGGAATTTAAACTAACGTGATACTCTTACATCCGGATCGTCTTCTTCTTCTTCTTCTTCTGATTCTTCAGGATACGGTACAGCTTGATAATAAATTTATTATTAAATAAGAAATATTCTAATAATGTGGGGAGATTTAAATCTCATGAGACTCACGATGAATTTGAACACTAGGTGCAAAAGGAATGTTCCGCAGATTTTCAAATACTTTTGCTCTATATAAACATGAAAGGTATCTTTAAATGATAACCTTATTACTAAAGAATGATTAATTTAAAATGAAATATACTTCATATCAGCCAAGTAAGCAGGAGTGTTCATATTCTCCATATTATTAGCAGGGACATCCAATTTGTAATTTGGCCCATAGTATTCCAAGAAATTATTGTATGGTAGGTCTAAATAGAGTAAACTACCCTGATAAAGTGATGAACTCAATGTAAAATTGTGATGACAAGAATGATTTATTACCTTCATTAAGCTGTTCCCCAAGTAATAAACCAGTTTCGTACGTCCAAGCACGGGCCACGTTACGGATTGTGTATCCGCCACCACCTACAACCAAAAGAGGAATATTAAAATCCTTTACGAAGTCGACACAAGCTGCATGTCCTTTCATGGAAAGATTGAAACAGCCCAATCGATCACCGGCGAGTGAGTCAGCACCACATTGCAAAACTATTGCACCAGGTCGATACCACTCAATTATATGCTGTACTACCTATTTTCACGTAAATGTGCATATGATAGGAAAATGAAAACGCGCCACAAAAAGAATTAAAATTACTCCTAAACTTTGATACTTGTAAAAATTGTATACCGGGCGAAAAACATTTTGATAATTCCAGTCATCCATGCCATCCTTTAATGGGAAATTCACTGCATAATGCTTCCCTGCACCAATACCGATATCCTATTAATAACATAATCATTTAAGTAGTAAATTAAAATAGAACTACTTCAATAACGTGTTCGTACCGAGACATCACCGGTACCAGGGAAAAACTGTCCAAATTTGTGGAATGAACAAGTCAAAACTCGGTCAGTGGTGTAAAAAGCTTCTTCTACACCATCACCATGATGTATATCAATATCAATATAAAGGACGCGTTGATAAAATCTTGATAACATTAAAATGTTGTTAGAAGTCAATATACATGAAGTAAAATATTTGGATAATTTGATATCATAATAAATATTAGAAATTTTACCTTAAGAGCTCTAAAATAGCTAACACGATATCATTCACGTAGCAGAATCCAGATGCTTCAAACCTTTTAGCGTGATGTAGACCTCCAGACCAATTTATCGCTATGTCTGATTCACCACTGGTCAATTTATTGGCAGCGTCTATTTATTTTTGTAGTTAAACCAAAAAAGAAATTTTATTTTAATGGAGTTTCTAACACGTTGCATTTTAAATAATGATTATAAATTACCAATTGATCCACCGGCTGAAATAGAACAGAATTCAAATAACCCTTCAAAAATAGGACAGTCTTCTCCAACATTAACTAAGTTTAATAAAGTATAAATATTAGTTATGCTTATTTGTTGGTAAAAGCACATGTATCGATAAGAACAATAAGAAGCAGTACATCTTGTTTGTTGCTGCGACAACTCTTCGACGTTTACCGGCGTGACTCTCTCCAAAAAATGGATGTATTCATCCGTGTGGAAGCGTGTCATTTGTCTGAATGTCGCCCGTTTCGGAGTCTATGATCAAAATTAGCCAAGCATATTCAAATGCGACAATTAAAGACGTATATGCGTGTTTCAAGATAACAATAATAAATACTTGTAGAGCTGATGATATAACCGTTCGGCAATGATAAATCACGAACAAAAGGATACGAGAACTTCCATTTTCTTGAATAAGTTATAATTCACAACAAGATCATGAACCATTCGCATTCTATGCGGCTTCATCGGGTGACCTAATTACTCGACGGTTTAGTAAAAAAGAAACAGTATTTAAACGCGAATAAAAAAAATTCCGGTAAGTTCATACCTTGACCGTATGTATAATTACCTACGTCCTCTATAAGTAAACCAAAGGTTACAACCGTTATTGAAAAAAAGAAATATAGTTAATTAACAAAAATTATGAATACATACCATCATAAAAATAAGAAACGCGTCGATTAGTTTTCGTACTATTCGCAAGAGTAGCCATCGAATTTAAAGTGCACTGCGGTCACTTAAGCGCTACAGGATTTAGGAGTTTCTTGTCAAAAAGACT